TAAACTATAGCAGTGTTTCTTTTACAAACTTGGGTGCCCTTGCCTTTGGGCATGGATGTTAAGAATTGATACATCATTTTGGTGGATTTATCCCTTGATTAGTATGTAGTGTCCTTCCCTATCTTTTCTGGTTAGTTTTGGTTTGAAGTTTGTTTTATCAGATATTAAAATGTCTACAATTGCTTACTTCTTAGGTCCATTTGCTTGGAATATATTTTTACATCTTTTTACTCTGAGATGATATCTGTCCTTAATGTTAAGGTGTGTTTGTTGGAAGTAACAGAAAGATGGACCCTGTTTTTGTATATATTCTGTAAGTCTGTGTCTTTTTGTGGGCTTGATACCATTGATGTTGAGAGTCATTGAAGAGCAGTATTTGTTGATTCTTATTGTTTGTTGTGATGTGTATGCCCCTCTTTTTTTGTTTGCTGTTCTGAGATTATTTATTCCTGTGTTTTCTTAGTGGTTACTTTCTTCAGGCTGAAGATTTCCTTCTAGCTCCTCTCTAGGGCTAGATTTATAGGTAGATATTGCTTAAATTTGGTTCTATATTGGAAGCCTTTCTTTCTGGCCTCTCTGGTCTCTTTAGAGTGTAGACCATCTGTCCAGATCCTTCTTACTTTTAGAGTCTCAATTGAGAAGTCAGGTATTAGTCTAATAGGTTTTTATATTTTGTTTGGTCCTTTTCCCTTGCACTTTTTTTTTTTTTTAAACAGATCTTGCCTTAAGTTTACTTGTAAAAAAAAGGATAGGGCACTGACCACCTGCAAATAGTGTGTAGGTGTGTCACACCAGTCCGTCTGTCTTCACATTGGCAGATAGAAACCTTTTCTATGGGGCATTCACAAAGGACCTGGATACTTTGGGAGCCTGAGCTGGAGCTGAGGCCGCTGCCTGTTGCCGGAGGACTTCTCTCCAGGTTCCCCAAGCCCCGCAGTCCCACAATCCACATATAAAATAATCACTCAGACGCTTATATCACTTATAAACTGTATGGCCGTGGCAGGCTTCTTGTTAACTGTTCTTTTATCTTAAATTAACCCATTTTTATAAATCTATACCTTGCCACGTGGCTGGTGGCTTCCCAGCGTCTTCACAAGCTGCCTCTCCTGG